GCCCTTTCCTGTAGTGCTGTCCATAGAAGCGTTTTCTCCTGCCTTGGCACATGTGCAGTGGAGGGTTTTCAAAGAAGCTTCTCACCACCACCTCCTGCTGGTCTCCACCACCTGTGAAGCTACTTTGTGGTCTACGAAGCCCTCAAAGTGATGATGCCAAGCTGTGCTCGGTGGAAGGAGAGGAAAAAACCCTTTCCCCTCCACATCACGTTGTCACCTGCCACCAAGCTAGGGCTCCCTGAGCTCCAGTGACTCACATGGTTTTAGTGACAACAGCTCTGCCAGCCCCGGCCTGTGGCTCCACGCCTGCTTAGGCTCAGGTGCCTCTGCAGTGCTGCCCCAGGCCCAGCCTCAAAGAGTCTTGGTTTCCTATTTCCCTTGCTGTGGCTTTCATGCTCTAGGTGGCACAATTATGGGGTATTTTCCTACAATTAAAATGTGAAAAATGTGACTTTAGTGATAAGTGTCATGGAATGGCAGGGAGAGGCAGAACCACCTTTATATACCAGGAGAGTCACTAACAGTGCCCTAATTAGAAAGTCAATGTCTCCGTGAATGCCTGGTCTTCTTCAATGCATTTAGGCAAAATTATCTAATTGGATTTTGCTTTGTACTCCTTTTGATGCTTTTGACTTAACCAAGTGGCTCTTAAAACAAAGCAGCTTTGAGAAGTGGGATAGCTGACTACGCAGGGAGAACCAGGACCTCCTGAGCTCTCTGCCTGGTCCTCCAAGGAGTATGCATGGGAGTTACTGGGGCTCAGGCTTCTGCGGGGGCTCCCAACAGGGACCAAACGAGACACAACGTAGGGGAAGGAGGAGCGGAAGGCACTCAGCTGCAGCGTGGGGTGAGGGAACTAATAAGGTAAGAAAGAATGGTTACCTTTAGCCCTGAAACATGCATTTGGAGGCAACTGCAGGCTGGCTGAAAAGCTAAAGGCAAAAAAAATGACTACAGAATTGCCAGTGGTAACACTGATGGGCATGTGAAGAGACAGCCAGCCAGGAGCTGTGCTGGAGGAAGACGACACTGTCTACCATCCCGGCTCGGAGGCCCCATTAAAATCCCACCTTCCCTGCAAAGCCGTCCAGTATTCCCTGTCGCAGACCGGGGCAAAGGCTTGACATTGGTGTTTGCTGCTAACAGAAGGGGACTGAGGGACATCCAATGGGAGGGCAGATCAAAATTGAGTAAGGGGCTGTTGTGCATGATTCATTTTGACTTTGGGTATTGAGTCCATTCAGAAACTTCTCGGGCAGCCAGGTAAGCTCAGTCCACCTGGAAAGGCTCTTAGAAGGGGAAATGAGCGTTGGCAGGACTGAGTCAGGGACCAGTGTGAATGGGTAAGGCTCGCTGAGGAGGTGTGGAGGAGCCTTGTTTGGGAGCCACTGGGTGTGTACATGAATGCATGTGTTCAACAGGCCACACAGGGCTGGCTGCAGGCGGCTGGGCTCCTAAAAGGAAAAGGCAAAGTGAGAGACAGATCTGGAAGTCTAGGACAGAACTGGAGTGCACAGAGCCAGGGCAGCCGGTGATGTGGCCCACCTACGACATCCACTCCAGACATCCCTGGCTTCATCACCTCAAAACTGTACCCTGTCCCCACAGGGTATTACCCCCTTCAAAAAGTGACTGAACGCTTTTCTGCAGCCCAAAGGCAGAGAGCTATCACTTCTTGGGAGCCAGAACCAGATGAGGCAGGGAGAAGAGCTACCCAGAGGTCCCAACTCTACATTTGTTAACATGGGGGACCCCACTTGCTTTATACAGCTTTAGGGAGGAGGCTACAGGGCATAGTAAAGCTGAGGCAGCCATAACCATGAGTTCAGCTGCAAAGGCCAAGGCCTAAGAAAAAACTGGGCATCTAAAACCCTGACCCCACCTTTCCCCACCCCTACATTTGTGTCTGCTACCTCCTGAGGAGCTGGGGAATGGGAGGCCTACGGTCCTTTCAGTACCTTTTGGTCATTCTAGAGGAGCCAATGCCCTTCCCAGGAAGGCTGGTACAGAAATCAGGAAAGGGACACAGCCACCCAGGGAGGTGATCCAGCATTTAGCAGCTCGCATCCTCCCAGAGGACCAGTCATTGCTTGCATTTTCCATAACCAGGATCTGCCCTGTGGCCAGGCGGGCTGAGACACCCTTCACCCACTGTGCAGTTATTCTACTCGTGCTAACAAACCATAGGATGTGTACAACCAGATGTCGGTTTACTGGAGCAGCACAGACCTGCTGCCGGATGTCTGGTGCCCTGGCAAGGCGACGGCCAAACACCGAAACCTCTTTAAAGAGTGCCTCTTCCAAAGGCAAAGGGGAGCGGGCAGAGAGGAAGGGCCCCTGGGCCCAGGTTTCTCTCCTTGCCCACACTGCACACTGTCATGACTGAACCTACAGTTAAGACTTGTGGTGACAAACATCAAAACTGCTCACTAGAAACACTGGGGGCTGACACACAAAGCAGGAAAAATGGGGACTCTCAAGGGGGGAGAGGGCTACCATCTCCCTTCCAAATGGACCTCAGCTTGGCTTCCATAGAGAAAGTTCCAGAAGACTCAGGTGTTAGCAGTAATGGAGGCAGCCCCTAAAAAAATGGAGGGGTTTGGAGGTGGGAGGACTGGTCTAGGGCTCCTTTGAGGGGCACCGTCCTCTCTATTTTAGTGCTTCTCAAGCAGGTCTGTCTTGGGCCCAGTGTTTCTTTGACTTCAAAATACTCCCTTTCTCATGTGCCTACCCAAACTCTCTCATCCTCACCTCTCCCCTAGGGTTTCAGGCCCTACTAGCCAAATGCATACCATCACCCAGATTCCCATTAGGCACCTCAAGTCCAAAATATCCCAAATTAAACTTGCCATCTCCTGCCTACCCACACTACCTCCCCTCCTTCCTGTGTTCCAACTCTGAATGAGGACACGCTCCACGCAGGGGCACGCTTCTGGCTCTCTTCTGCTGTCCTGGAGTCTGCCTCCGAGACCTCCTTCATCCCCTCCCCTTACCGCTCCTCTAGTCCAGACCCCCACCTTTTCACTGGACACTGCAATAGTGTCCCAACAGACCATCCTAATTATAGCATGTCCAAGTTCTATCCAGCTGTCAGACGTCAACAGTGCGTATCTGAATAAGTCACCCTGGGCCTGACACCGTGCTCTACTCATACATAAGACTCTCCAGGACAGTGCCCCAGGACCCCTCCAATATCAGCTCTCACTATTCCTTACCTCCCACTTTACACCCGCATCCCAAATCCATCATATTCCGCACCACAGTGCCCTTCTCTGGAACTCCCTTCCTCTCCTTTGGGACCCTTCCTCTCAGCTCACGTTACAAATCATCTTATCGTAGCTACTGACGTCTGCTGATTTCAATTCAGGGCTCAGCCCACAACCACTGTCCCTCAGAGATGAGCCTTAGCCAAGAGAGTAAACATGGAAGGATCTGACAGTGATCCCGGGGGTCTGGTTCTTGGGAATGGAGGTGCTAAAGCAGAGGCAGGGGCTAAGGAGCCATCTCACTGGTGGGAGAAGTGAATCTCTCCACTGACTCCCTCACCTATGAATAGAAAGTTCTATTCTTCAAAGTTGTATCACATCCACTATCTGACAGGTGCTTCCCAAGTCCATGAAATAAGCAGGGTATGAAAGGCATCCCAGTGTCCTAAGGGGATGTGAGGAGAGGGATTTTTCTTTAAAATCCTATGGAAACTAAAGTCCTTGGTCAACATTTTTTAAAACTTCTAATTAGGGAAATTCTAGAGGCCAACATGCTACAAATTAGAAAATCATCCTATGTGAGCCTTTCTGACTTAGCCTGTGTGAGAGGTGGGTCTCAACAGCCAACATGCATAAAGCATTGTGCAGGCCTGGGACAAGATGGCTCAGGATAAAACTGGGCCATGAAGCTGGAACGTAGAACCGTCTCCAAAGCCCTCTCATGGGGACCACACACACCAACTCCTCTGCCTCCTTTCTACCACAGCCTTGGACAGGGAACCGGAACAAAGCTGCTGCCCTACCCAAAGGAAAGGGTCAGAGAGGCAAAACTCTAGGGATGAGAGAGCACTAGTGAGGAATCGCAGGTTTCTGTAAGCGTAACCTCTGATTAGCCATGGAGCAAAGAGAAACTCTTAAACCCCATTTCCTTAGCAAGAGCAGCATCTCAGTGGGAGAAAAATCACTTTGGCTACATATATTTCCCAGTCTCATCCCACCCAGGTTTCTCACCTTTATTATTGAAAAGATGGAAACTCAAAGTACCTTGATAATAGCCTTGCTCAAAGTACTTCTGTCAATTCCTAAAATCCCAAATCCTTTACAGGGATTCTCAGTTTCCATATTTGTTAAAAGGAGAATTCATAATGTAATTATAACAACAAATATGGGCAAGAAAGTACTTGGGGATCCTGGCAACTGAGTTACCTGCCTGATGAGTACAGCACTAAAAGCACCTCAGACTCTGAAGATAGATCTGATTGAATCCCACCTCCCCTGTTTTCAGATGTGTGACCAAAACCAGTTCCTTAACTTTCCCAAGCCTTAGTTTTCTCCCCTGGGAAATAGTTACTAGTATCTGCAAGGGCTGTTGTGAGGATTAAATGAGTGCTTAGCACAGAGCCTGCCAAACAGCAATTGTTTAATAAGCACTGGCTCTTGATTAAGTTTTGTAATGCTGTCACTGTTGTGCCTGCTCTCTGCTGACCTCACAGTGGTCTGCTCTGGGCCAGGCCCTCTCCCACAGAGACTCAAGGCTCTCCAGTGAAGATGTGTCCAACTGAGAATGTATGAGAAGCCCTTCCCATGGGAGTGTGCACACATGTGGACAGTGGGAAGACACAGCGAGAGTTGCAATCACTGCCCAGGCTGACTGGTTTAACTCTAATCCCCTAAATTGCCAGTGTGGCTCAAATACTGACAAAGCTCTTCTATGACAGCAAATATAAGGATAGCCTGAGAATCGCATGTGGGTTTTATACAGGAGAAAAACAAATTACACTTAAGAAAAATGCCTTCAAATCTGGATTCTTAGTATTTGTAATTCACTTCCAAATTACCTGGATTATACCAAGATAACTTCCTTGGGTCCACACCAGGCGTAAAAGTTGAAAGTTTCTAGCATACATCGTGTAAGGTATATACATTTATCTCTCCTTTGTTGTGGGGGAAGGCGTCCCCTATGATGCTTTCCCTCCAGCATGGGTCCTCCGGTGGGCACTAAAGTGGGAGCTGTTGTTGAAGTCTTTGCCACACTCTTTGCACTTGTAGGGTTTCTCCCCAGTGTGGATTCTCTGGTGAATAATAAGACTGGAGCTTTGGTTAAAGCATTTCCCACATTCTCTGCACTTATACGGCTTCTCTCCGGTGTGAATCCTCTGGTGAGTGATGAGGTTAGAACGGTCACGGAAGAATTTTCCACACTCGAGGCATTTGTAGGGCTTCTCTCCTGTGTGTACTCTCTGGTGTGTGATTAGCTTAGAGCGCTCACTGAAGCACTTCCCACAGTCCACACACTTAAAAGGCTTCTCCCCAGTATGGGTTCGCTGGTGGTTTGCCAGGGTGGAGCCCTTACTGAAGCTTTTCCCACATTCAGCACATTCGTATGGTTTCTCTCCTGTATGGATTCTTTGGTGACTAATGAGGGCAGAGCTTTTAGAGAAGCATCTTCCACATTCAGAACACTCATAAAGTTTCTCCCTTGAGTTGGTTCTGTGCAGTCCAGGAAAATTCAAGTTCTTACTGATACTCTGAGGCTGCTCAGGAGATATTTCCTCTGTAGAATTCTTCCAGTGACCACGAAAGGATGTGCTTTGGCCAAAGTTTTCCCCAGGCTCACTGCATTGGTGAGGATTTCCTCCCAAGTGGATTCTCTGATGTTTCAGGTTTGAGCTCTGGTTGAAGCTTTTCCAACATTCCCCACATTTATAGGGCTTTTCCCCTGTGTGGATTCTCTGGTGGGTGATGAGATTGGAGTGGTCACTGAAGCCTTTCCCACATTCAAGACATTTGTAGGGCTTCTCTCCAGTGTGGATTCTCTGATGGGTATTGAGGTTGGAGCGGTCACCAAAGTTTTTTCCACATTCAAGGCATCTGTAGGGCTTCTCACCTATGTGGATCTGCTGGTGATTGATGAAATGGGAGCTCTGATGGGAGCTCTTCACACATGTATCACACTTGTAGGGTTTCTCTGTGAGGTACAGGCCTTGATGGTCAATAAGTTTTTCTAAGTCCTGTTCAGAAGAACACTCCTCCCACTGTTCCTGTGGAGGATGTCCCCACTGCTCTTTACCTTCATTTTCATTTTCACTGTCTTCCTCCCAGTCAAGAGGCTGGCAAAGAGCCTCTGTAGTATCTGTGGACAATGCTCCAGGCAAACCCTCACAAATGTCTTGCTCTGAAATATGGTCTTTATCTTCATGCCTCATCTCAAAACCTGAAAGAATGGACAGAAATGCAGCTTTTCTTCATTCATTAGTTAGCATCTATGCATATGTCTTTGTATATTGTGCCTCATATACCTCACATTGTATAAATGTGACTAAGATGAAATCAACCAAGTTTTAGTGCATACATATGTTTCTAGCCTACCGAGCTGAGGAACAGAGTCTGGGGCAAGGTGACCTCATTAGCCCAAGGAGCTAGCCAACCAGTCTCCCATCTCAATATTCAATGATGAACACCTCGTTCCTCCAGAGCAGTGTTTTTCAAACTTTTTTATCTCAAAGCACACCTGAACCTATGGTTAAACTTCCACAGCAACTTAATTATGTTTATCAAAATAAGAGTAAAAAAAAAGAATATACTTACTGTGCTTTGAACTTCTTTCAAAAGTAATTTAACTAACAATCTTTAAAAATTTTTGCAGTATACCTAAGATCTTCTCACAGTACAGCAAGGTACCTCCGCACACTGGTTGAAAATCACTGCATTCAGTATAATTTGTGTCATACAAGATCAAATAAACTCTATAACTGAATAAACTCTATATCCTAGTAAAAGCTTGACTGACTGATTTGGAGGATCACATGAAGCTGGAGATTGGATAACCTGCGCAAAGTACAAATCCTTATTCCTACCCAATCCCATACTCTTTAGTTTAGAGACAAAGATAATAAGCCTGGCTCTCTCACTCTTTCTATGTGTCTGTGGATTCTGTGGATATCCAACAACTCTGGGCTTACCCATGTCTGGGGTTCTAGGACAGGGGGTTGGAGGTTTGACAGCATCTTCATCTGCCATCTCATCCCAGACCTCTTTGCTGTTGGCCTCAGCACTGCTCTGCCCAGACCTTGGAAGACCTGCAGCCTCCCTGATGGTCCCCACAGCCCTGACCACAGTCCGAGCCCTCATCAGTGAGTCCAGCTCCTCATAGAAGGGGCACGTCCCTGGCGGGTGGCTGCTCTTGGCTTTTCGGTAGCTTCGAAGGAGGTTTTTGAATCTGTAGCGACACTGCTCCAGTGTCCGCAGGAAGCCCATGGCACACAGCCGCTCTGCAATGGCCCGGTACACCTGGCTGTTCTGGTGACAGGTACGAAGCTTTTCAGAGTATGGGGACTCACTGAGAATCGCCAGGAAGATCTTGGTCTCCTCATAGCCCCAGTGCACACCTGCTGTCAGGAGTGAAGAGTTCAGAGGTGTAAACCTTGATGAGATTTGCCTACATTATCAGGGACAGGGGTGACCTGCTCTTCTGAATACTGAACACTGGCATCTCAGAAACTACCTAAGGGCCTGGGGAATATCCCCTTGCTTCTCAGGGGTATGCTAGGAAAAGTCTGCCAGAGCTTCCCACCCCAACTCCCTTCTAAGAGATTCTAGTAACAGAGTCTTAGCTGAATGGGAGGTCATATATCAACTGTATCAGGTGACCTCACTCCCCTGGTTTTGGCTAACTGGCTCAGTCAGGATCCATGAGATCCTGTATCCACAGGATACATACATATCCTCTATTTATTTCATAAATTCTCCTTTTAACAAAACATGGAAGCAGAGAATTCCTGAAGATTAGAGGCATAAATGGATTTCAGATACTCCTGAAACAATAAAACTGAGGATGCCCTTTCTTCTTCCATGTAGGAATAAAAGGGAGGTAGTAGTTCCTCTGCAGGTAAATGATGAAGCCCAGGGTGGCAGCAGAGTGGAGGGAAAACCATATAAAACTACCAGGCAGGAGCCACAAGCTCTAATCCTACCTCTGTGTGTCTTTAGGTCAGACTCCTCATCTCTTGGACTTTAGTGTTTCTACTTTTACCATGAATGACTGGGTATTTCCCACACATCAATTGTTCAAGCCTACGCTGCCATGATTTCTGCTCTGTTTAATACTATTTCAATCACTGTCCTTCTTTACCTTAATTTACAATCTGTGAACTCACAGGTCGATGTGCTCATTCCCATTTAGAGAAATACACAGCTAGATTGTATATAACACCTGTGCTTATTCCCATACCACCAGTGACATGCTCAGGGAAACACTGGATGTTTTGTTCTTTGGGATCACTTAAGACTTGAAAAATGTTTGCTTCTATAACTATGAAACTTAACCATGGGAGAAGAAAGGAGTTTGAGGATGACCTAAGAATACAGTACTCAAGTGAAATCAATCCAGACTTGAGGTTCTGACCTCAGGAAATAGCAGTCTGACTAGCAGGAGGGTTGGAATCTGAATCTGATTAAACCCCTGGCTCTTACCAATACGATTCTGGAGCAGAGCTGGGACTCCTGTGATCCTGGATCCCTGGGAGGACTCATCAGTGACTAGGCCAACACTGTTACAGTCTTCTGTTGTTTCCTCAGGCTCCCAGCCCTCCTCCTGCTCATCCATCTCAGTGTCACTATCCCCCAGCCTGGGGAGTACTATGACCTCTCCTGGGCTGTCTGTGACTCGGATGGCAGTTCGAGCCCTCACCAGGGCTTCCAGCTCCTCATAGAAGGGGCAGGTCCCTGGTGGGTGGCTGCTCTTGGCTTTCCGATAATTCCGTAGGAGGTTTTTGACCCTATAGCGACACTGTTCCAGTGTCCGCAGGAAGCCCCTTGCCCTTAGCCGCTCTGCAATGGCCCGGTACACCTGGCGGTTCTGGTGACAAGTCCGAAGCTTTTCAGAGAAAGGAGACTCACTTAAAATTGCCAGGAAAGTCTTGGTCTCCTCATAGCCCCAGTGAACACCTGACACCTTCATGTCCTCCACGTCCCATTGGTATTGCTCTTCCCTTGAGTCCCTCCAGGCCAATGCCTGAGCTGGTTTTGTTTGCTCATTTTCTAGGCTATAATCTGTAGTGTTCCTTTTCCCAGAATTTTTAAGACTGACACACCAAAATTCTGGTCCTTGTTCTTTCTGAGAGGTAATACTTGGTTTTGGAACTGGAACTCCTAGACAAAAGGAAGAAGAGAAATGACTGAGTAGAAATGATCTACTGAGCTGAGTGCTTGCCAAAAATGTTCCTGAAACTTATATCCTTTCCCTGCAAAAGACCGATAAAAAATTTCCATGCTAATCCTTGAAATATCTGGAGGGATACGGAGAGGTAACTAGAGGTAATGAGACCACTATTCCAAAAGTGTTAAGTGACCTGTTTGCCTTCTTCATTTGCTTTTTTGTTGTTGTTCTGAAGCAGCATATAACAGAGTAATTGTTATTGGTCCACAGATGGGCACACAGCCAAAATTCCATGGTTGGAGGAAATGTTCCTCTGTGTATGTATGTGTGAGTCAAAGAGAGCAGGACAGAGAGAGAGAGAATCTCTTTCCTCCAAGGCCTCCAATGCCACTGATATCTATCTCACGAGATAGCTTCTCCCAACAGCTTTGGGATGAAGCTAATACTGAGGATGGCAGAGAGAGAGAAAGAACTCAAGTCCTATACTGTGGTTGGAGCATGTCCTCCTCCATACTTCTAATATTGTGAGAAAATTAATTCTCTTTAACAGTTAGTTATGTTTAAAGGACTGCTGTCTCAACAGCTCCCAACCCTAACAAAATAGAAAGTCTTTAACTAAATCAAGTAAAACCTCCACAGTTGACCATCTCCCTACATTGAACACCTCCTTAAATTGACCTAATTTTCATAGAACAAACATGTACCACATATCAGTCCAGTAGGCCTAGTTTCTTATGTTGACCACCTCCTTGTGCTGACCAGTTTGTTACAGTCCCTTGGATGGTCAACTTATAAAGGTTCTACTGTATTTGAAGAAAACTAGATGAAAAGGAGTTAGAGATGTAAGGATAATTTAGTTCAGCATTTCCCTAAGTCTACTCCTCTGAATACTATTTCCCCCAGGTATCATGACTAAAGAAGAGGTTGCACTGTCAAACAAGCAGTCAATAAGTGTCTAGCATCTAACCTTATCATGAGTCTGTGCTGTAAGTCTCTTCTACTCTACTGCACTCCCATGTCCAACTACCTCACAGTGATCCCAGGCTCCACAGGGAAATGGCTCATTATTATTTGGCTTCCCACATCACTATCTATGGAGCTAGGAGTCTGTGCTGGTCACATGGGCTTCAAGTGTTTAGTGCCCAATGATATTTGTTTCTCATTGGCTTTAATACATTGGTCTCATGGGTTTACTTGAGTCTACCCCTGAGAGATCCTGTTTGGTGCTGAAAAGATCAGATTTATGAGACTTCAGGCTGGGCCAGCCTCTGGACTGTGGTGAAGGTGCTGAGGTAAGGAAGGTACTGGGCCCCAAGAGGGGAGGCTCTTGGAAGCCATCCTGCCAGCCTCTATGCAGGCAGACCCCACCCCTGCCCTCACAGTCTCAGCTACAGAGAACTAAAGAGCAAGTCTTCTATCTCTGAAATTCCAGAGCTGCAGAGTCATGATTCTTAGTGGAGTGGTAAAGCCCTCTTTGGGAACTGAATGTACCAGAAACATGACAACATCACCTTCAGAGGGATGTTTCCTTACCCAAGCACACACTGTCCCCATAGTTGTCTTCTAGGAGGTCCTTGAACTCCCTCTCAGCATGTCTGCCAAGGCCCAGGGCATCCTATAAGATGCAGAAAAGAAGGACCTCAAATATCACTGACGCTTGATGACAGGCTAGAGACCTGCAAGTCCCCAGGAAAGGTAATGGGAATATAGACACACCATATATGTACATTGCTAGGAGCAGCATGACCAAAGAGAGAAGCCCCACACACTGAGGGGTGAGGGGCATGGCACCTGGGCCTCCTGCCCTTAGGCTGAGGGGAAGCCGTGGAGAGAGTGAAGGAGCATGGGGGTGAGAGTACAAAATCTGCAATGATGGGAAGGGAAGAACAAGTAACAGCATACCTGGGACTCGGCTAACACCTCCCAATCTCCAACGCTCCCCATCTTTGGGAGAGTAGGGACTCGAGGAGTGAGGACAGCTGATGAAAGAAAAAGTCTCTGAAATCCAAGCTCTAGTTCCCCAAAACCACCTCCCTTGGAGATCCAGCTTTCTGAACTTATGACTTTCAGAAAGCTGAGTCTATCTCATGGCCAATGAAGACGTCCCTTTTCACTTCCCTTCTAGAGGGTATAGCTTCTAAGCTGCCCTGATTGGGGTGTCAGGGGGCAGCACCTGACCTCCTGTGATCACCACCCACCCCAGGCCCAGCCTGCACGTGCTGCAGGACTCCAGCCACAGTGGTGCATGCTGGCACCACTGGGAGCTTCAGCCTCTATCACAATGCTTACTGACCTTACCTCTCAGTCAGTGTGTCCCTCAGAAGCTATCTTGTGTCTTGCCCTGAATTCTGTACATCTTTCCTCCCCCCACACCATTCTTTACCTCCCACCCCATCCCCTGAGGAGAAGATTTTCTCTCTGATGTTCCCAGATTCTTGGTACTTGCCATCTTCTTTTAAGGGTATCTTGGCATTTACATGATTGGGAAGGTCAAGGCATGTATTCTTCACCCACTGCTTTTGGGACTGTCCCTCAGGCCAGGAATCCACTGGCTGCAGCTGGAAGTCCTGAGATTCTTGTACTGCTTTTAAAGACTTGGTCTCTTGTGCACACAATTCCAGTTCCTACACACAGAGACCAAAATTCCTAATCACCAGCCAATCATCAGTTCAATAAGACCCACTTTGGTACTGCAGGGAATGTTATTTTAAAGAATAAATAGAACCTCTTGTTGTAGTCAAGAGGTTAACAGGCTCTCTTCAGATCCAAAGATACCTTAAAGTATGATGAGAAAGCCATCAGACTGATTTCAATAAATAGGTCAGCATTTATACCACCAAACGAACACTATCTTTTCATGCAAAGTGATCATACAAGTGTTTCTCTTTTTTTTTTTTTT